GTAAGGAGATCCTGCTGGCCTTAGCTTCAGATGATGTCTGGAAATTATTCACTTTTCATCACTCCCACACATACCACACAGGCCCAGGCCCAGGCCCCGCCTAATATCATCTCCTGCCTGAATTACTGCAGGGGTCTCCTACATTTCTCCAGCTTCTGATATTGTTCTCTTGTAGTTTATTCTCAACATAGCATAAATTAGATCATGTTATTCTTCTGCTTCAAACTCTCCAGTGGCTTTTAATATTGAGATTCCTTACTGTGGCCTACATGGCCCTTTATCTGTTCCCCCTACCCCTCCCCTACGTTGTTACCTCTCTGATCTCTTTGACTACTCTCCTTATCCATTTTACTCTGACCACATTAGCCTCCTTGCTGTTCTTGGAACAAACCAGGCTTTCTCCCACTTAACGGCCTTTGCCCTTGCCATTTTATCTCCTAAAAAAAAAAAAAAAAAAGATTACTTTCTTATTTCCTTCACATCTTTACTCAAATTTCATGTTCTTAGAGAGACCTCCGCTAGCCATCCAACCTAAAATTCCAGTATTCTCCGTTCTGTCAACACTTCATATCCCCCTTTCTTGTATTTATCATGATATAATATACTTTACATTTACTTATTTATGTTTACCTCCATCTCTTCCTGCTAGAATGAAACTCCATGAAGGCAAAGATTTTTGTCCATTTTGCTCACAAATGAATCTTTAGCACCTAGAGCAGTGGCTGATACAGAGCAATAACACAAATGATTGGGTTTTTTTGGCCGTTCCGCACGGCATGCAGGATATTAGTTCCCTGACCAGGGATCAAACCTGTGTGCCCTGCAATGGAAGTGCAGAATCTTAACCACTGGACAGCCAGGGAAGTCCCAAATGCTTGTTGAATGAATATTGAATGTGAACCTCATTTGAAAATAGTCTTTTGAGACTTCCCTGGAAGTCCAGTGGTTAGGACTTCGCCTTCCAGTGCAGGGGGTGCAGGTTCGATCCCTGGTTGGGGAGCTAATATACCACATGCCTCGGAGCCAAAAAATCAAAACATAAAACAGAAGCAATATTGTAACAGATTCAATAAAGACTTTAAAGAATGGTCCACATCAAAAAAAAAAGTCTTTAAGTGTTAGAAGTGTCCTGTAGCATGAATAAAAATATCACAAAGTACTTGCTTAATGGTTTGATGATAACAGCCACTATGTATTGAACCTTTATTAAATGCCAGCCAGCCAGTGCTAGAGACTTAGCACTGGTTATATCTTATCCCTATGATATAAGGAGGTGCTATTCAGGAGTTCCCAAAGCCACCCTCAGGTTCAGTGATTTGCTAGAAGAACTCACAGAGGTCAGCAAAGCTGTTATTGTAACTCAAGGTTACAGTTTATTTCAGTGGAAGAATACAGATTAAAGTCAGCAAAAGAAAGAGTCACATAGGGCAGAGCACAGGAGAAACGGAGTACAAGCTTCCAGTTTTTCTCTCCCAATAGAGTCACGTGGACACTGCTTGCTCCTCCCAGGAGTGATGTATGACAAAAACAGAATATTGCCAGCCAGGGACTTGCCTGAAGCTTGGTCAGGGTTTTTATTGGGGTCAGTCACATAGGCATGGTTGACCACCTGCATAGCTGACCTTAGTCACTCAGTCTCAATCCAGTCCCTCCAGAGGTCAAGCTGATACCACATGGCTCAAGGACCCCGTCATAAATCACAAAGACTTTCTGGAGTGGCCCAAGGCCTCTTCCATAAATTACACTGTTAGCTTACATTATCTGTTGTGATCCCAGACACCCAGGTAAACAAAGACACACAATCAAGCAGCATATTCCAAGGGCTTATAAGTTACCTTCTAGGAGCAGGTCACAGGCCAGACCTTTAACATACGGCATATGGACAACCCAGATTTACTGAGTTAATCCTTTACTGCACATGAAGTGTGTACTGCTATTTCCCTTTGCAGATGAAAAAACTGAGACTTAGTATCTTGTCCAGGGTCACACAGTAGAATCCCTTGACTCTATAGCAGGGGTCAGCAAACCTTTTCTTTAAGACTAGATAGTAAATACTTGTCTGGCTTTGTGGGCCATATGGTTGCTGTCCTAGCTACTCAGCTCTGTTACTGTAAGGAGAAAGAAGCCATAGACAATATGTAAACAAATGTCAATTGCTGTGTTCAAATAAAACTTTATTTACAAAAACAGGCAGCCTGCAGGCTATAGCTTGCCATAGCTTGCCAACCTTTGCTCTAAAGCATTAAAAAATAAACAGTTTGTACTCTATTCTACTTAAAGCAGAAGAGAAGACTTTTTGCTTTCAGTTCTGCAAGGATAGATTTTAAGAGATGTTTGCCAGAATTCACTGAGTTCTTAACTAAATATTTAAAGATGTAGACTATTTTCAATATTAGCTCTTTTAAAAATAATCCCCAAAATCATTTATCTACTTCCTAGTGTAAACTTTTTGGATTTGTTTAAGGGAAGGGGAATGATACTTTTATCTTTCTGATACCGTGGTAAGCTTCAAAGTAGCAACTCTTTAGAAAATATTGATACATGACCCTGTCAATAATATTTGTCATTAAAATATCTGGCCCCACAATTTGGGAATTAACAAACTTTATCCATCTCTCACCTTATATTTTAGGAACTTTAGAGGGTAAATAGGTTGATTTATAGGACATATGTCTAGCTTGCCACTTTTCTGCTTTTATGTATGGTTTTCTGTGAATTTTTAGAAATGCTTCCTTACTGATCTTTTACATATATATATTTCTGTCTTTTCTACAGACCTTGTTTTTTCTTTCTCTTGTATATCAGTTGTACCCAGAATCCATATATAACAATTTTTAGATTTACCATGGTAGTAGTTGCTTAATGATTCTAGTTTTGACCCCCAGATAGTTGAAATGCTAGTGTACTTTTTAATTTTTATTTTGAAACAATTGTAAATTCACAGAAAGTTGCAAAAGTAGTTTTCCTCCATGATTACATCTTAAGGCACAATATCAGAAGCAGAAATTTGGTATTAGTATAATGAGTGTATGTAGTTCTGTGTATATTATCAAGTGTGCAGATTTTTGTAGCCACCACTGCAATCAAGATAATTATGCCATCACTACAAAGATATTCCTTATGCTACCCCTTTGTCACACATCCCTCCCTACCCCTAACTTCTGTAACCTTAGTAACCATTAATATGTTTTCCATCTCTGTAACTTTGGTATTTTGAAATAAATGCCCAGGTTTGCAGTTGCTGGGCTGTCTGGTAATTGCATGCTTAGCTTTTAACTTGGGTGGACTTGGCCTCCAGGTTACTCCCCTGCGGTAGTAGGCAGTTGAAATGTTTTTTCAGTTCGTTTAGTGTCATCTGGGTTGTTTGGAGTCTACCTTACAAAGGTGTAGTTCAAGGGTCAGCTAGAGATTTGGACCAAGTTTAAAGCAGATTTGGGGGCTTTCTCTCTTAGGCTCTCCCGTTTCCAGGATTCCCAGCCTCACTTCCCAGTTTCTGACTTTGCCCTGTACTCTGTCTTCTGGTTCTTTGTGTCAGTATGGCAAATTTTTAGCCTTCCCCAGTGGTTCCAACCAATTAAGGCCTCTCTTTAAGAATAAATCCATAAAAACATGACTGTTACCCAGTGTCATTCCCTCTTTTCCTCCAGATTCTGCCTACTTTTCATATCTCTCCAGTGTTTTCAGGCAGAGTTTTTTTTTATAGTTCATCTGAGAGTTATAGTTGTTACCTGAAGAAGGATTAGCCCAATAAGAGATACTTATTTGCCATTTCTCAAACTGGACCTATTGTGTGTTCTTTTTAATTTTATACAAACAACAGCTTATCGTTCTTTGTCTTTTTTTAACTTACTGTATAATGGAGATTGTTTCCTTTCCATATATGTAATACTTTGTTTTTACAATTATATAATTATCCACTATATGGGTATACTCTATTTAACAAGTTACACTGTTGATGGACACTTGGTTTGTTCCCATTTTTTGCTATTTTAACATTGTTGCATTATGCATCCTTGAGCATAAGGCATTTTGCATATGTGCAAGCATTTTTGGATTAATTCTTAGAAGTAGAATTTTCAGATTGCCCTACATAGAGATTGCTTTGATTTATGCTTCCATCAACATTGTATGGGAATGACAGTTTTCTCCCCCACACACTCACCAACTCAGTATTAAATTTTTTTTATTTTTGTCCATCTGTACATTTTTACAAATGACTTTTCATTTGCTTTTCTCTTATGAGTCTAGTTAAGCATCTTTTAGTACGTGTAAAAGCCATTTACATTTTCTTCTGTGAAATTCTCTTTTACATCCTTTGCCCATTTTTCTTTTGGGATTTTGGTCTTTTTTTATTTGCAGGAACTTTTCATATATTAAGCATATTTGTTCTTTGTCATATGTTGCCATAACTTTTTCCTGTTTTTTCATTTGTGTTTGACTTGGTTTTCATTTGTGTTTGACTTGGTTTCAAATGCCATCTTTAATAGTTTGGTTTTACCTTGAAGGAGCTTTTTATTTTTATTTAGTCAAATGTATGTGTTTTTTTTGTTTTTGTTTTGTTGTTGTTTTAATTTATTTATTTTATTTTTTATTTTTATGGCTGTGTTGGGTCTTCGTTTCTGTGTGAGGGCTTTCTCTAGTTGCAGCAAGCGGGGGCCACTCTTCATCGTGTTGCGCGGGCCTCTCACTGTCACGGCCTCTCCTGTTGCGGAGCACAGGCTCCAGACGCACAGGCTCAGTAGTTGTGGCTCACAGGCCTAGTTGCTCCGCAGCATGTGGGATCTTCCCAGACCAGGGCTCGAACCCGTGTCCCCTGCATTGTCAGGCAGATTCTCAACCACTGTGCCACCAGGGAAGCCCCTCAAATGTATGTTTTATTTTATGATATTTGAGTTATGAGTTGTATTTAGAGAAACCCTTCCCCGTTTCTGGATCAAAAATGTTCACCTGGGACCCGGGACAAGCGCCCCGCGGCGCGGCCGCCGTCGCCGCTAGCGCGTCGGGGCCTCGGGCTGCCCGCGGCTCCGCTGATGTCCCAGGCGCCTTGGCGGGCGGCCCGCGGGCTGCGGGAGTGCGGGCGCGGCCGCGAGGGCCGGGACCAGGAGTTGCCTTCATCGCTACCTGGTGCATCCCTGGCAGAACGTGAGGAGGAAAACACCCCCATTGTTCTTTGGCATGGACACAGGTTCATCAGGAGGATTAGAATTGACTGATCAGACTCCTGTTTTGCTGGGGAGGACGGCCATGGCAGCTAGCCTCACGGACGTAGGAAATTCATTTAGTGGGCCACCTAACCCTTTAGTGAATAGATCTAGTAAATTTCAGAACTCATCAGTGGAAGATGATGATGATGTTGTGTTTATCGAACCTGTACAACCTCCTCCGCCTTCTGCACCAGTGGTAGCCGATCAAAGAACCATAACATTTACGTCATCGAAAAATGAAGAGCTACAAGGAAATGATTCCAAAATTCTTCCTTCCTCAAAAGAATTGGCTTCTCAGAAGGGAAGTGTAAGTGAGACAATTGTCATCGATGATGAAGAGGACATGGAAACAAATCAAGGGCAAGAGAAAAATTCCTCCAATTTTATTGAACGGAGACCACCCGAGTCTAAAAACAGAACCAATGATGTGGATTTCTCTACTTCCAGTTTTTCAAGAAGTAAGGTAAATGCAGGAATGGGTAATAGTGGTATCACCACAGAACCAGACTCTGAAATTCAGATTGCTAATGTTACGACCTTAGAAACAGGTGTCAGCTCTGTGAGTGATGGCCAATTAGAAAATACTGACGGGCGAGATATGAACCTAATGATCACACACGTAACATCACTGCAGAATACCAGCTTGGGAGATGTCTCTAACGGACTGCAGTCGAGTAACTTTGGTGTTAATATGCAAACATACACCCCGTCTTTAACTTCACAGACCAAGACTGCAGTAGGACCTTTTAATCCTGGTAGAATGAATGTGGCAGGAGACGTATTTCAGAACGGAGAGTCTGCAGCTCATCACAATCCTGATTCTTGGATCTCCCAGTCAGCATCATTTCCCCGAAATCAGAAACAGCCAGGGGTGGATTCTTTATCACCAGTGGCCTCTCTTCCTAAACAGATTTTCCAGCCTTCTGCCCAACAGCAACCCACTAAACCAGTTAAAGTCACTTGTGCAAACTGCAAAAAGCCTTTACAGAAGGGACAGACAGCTTATCAGCGAAAAGGATCAGCTCACCTCTTCTGTTCTACCACCTGCCTCTCTTCCTTCTCTCACAAGCCTGCTCCAAAGAAACTTTGTGTTATGTGTAAAAAAGATATAACTACAATGAAAGGAACCATTGTTGCCCAAGTGGATTCGAGCGAATCCTTCCAGGAATTCTGCAGTACATCTTGTCTGTCTCTTTATGAAGACAAACAGAATCCTACTAAAGGAGCGCTGAATAAATCAAGATGTACAATTTGTGGTAAACTAACAGAGATTCGCCATGAAGTTAACTTTAAAAATATGACTCATAAGCTGTGCAGTGACCACTGCTTTAATAGATACAGAATGGCCAATGGTCTAATAATGAATTGCTGTGAGCAGTGTGGGGAGTACTTGCCCAGCAAAGGTGCTGGGAACAATGTCTTGGTCATTGATGGTCAGCAGAAGAGATTTTGCTGCCAGAGTTGTGTCAGTGAATACAAGCAGGTAGGTAGCCATCCAAGCTTTCTGAAGGAGGTTCGTGATCACATGCAGGACTCTTTCTTAATGCAGCCTGAGAAATATGGAAAACTGACCACTTGTACTGGCTGCCGAACACAGTGCAGGTTTTTTGATATGACTCAGTGTATAGGTCCTAATGGGTATATGGAGCCTTATTGTTCAACTGCTTGCATGAACAGTCACAAGACAAAATATGCAAAATCACAAAGTTTGGGAATTATTTGCCATTTTTGTAAGCGAAACTCTTTACCTCAGTATCAAGCCACAATGCCTGATGGAAAACTGTATAACTTCTGCAATTCCAATTGTGTGGCTAAATTCCAGGCTCTCAGCATGCAGTCATCTCCCAACGGCCAGTTTGTAGCTCCAAGTGATATTCAGTTGAAGTGCAACTATTGCAAAAATTCCTTTTGTTCAAAGCCAGAAATCCTGGAATGGGAGAACAAAGTGCATCAGTTCTGCAGCAAAACTTGTTCAGATGACTATAAGAAGCTGCACTGCATAGTTACGTATTGTGAATACTGCCAAGAGGAGAAGACTCTTCATGAAACAGTGAATTTCTCTGGAGTTAAGAGACCTTTCTGTAGTGAAGGCTGCAAACTGTTGTACAAACAGGATTTTGCAAGGCGTTTAGGATTGAGGTGTGTGACTTGCAACTACTGCTCTCAGCGGTGTAAGAAGGGTGCGACGAAGGAGCTGGACGGCGTGGTGAGGGACTTCTGCAGCGAGGACTGCTGCCGGCGGTTCCAGGACTGGTACTACAAGGCTGCAAGGTGTGACTGCTGTAAATCTCAAGGCACCCTGAGGGAGAGGGTGCAGTGGCGAGGGGAGATGAAACATTTCTGCGACCAGCACTGCTTGTTGCGTTTCTACTGTCAGCAGAACGAGCCCAACATGACAACCCAGAAAGGACCTGAAAACTTACATTATGATCAGGGTTGTCAGACGTCCCGAACCAAAATGACAGGCTCAGCACCACCCCCTTCTCCAACCCCCAACAAGGAGATGAAGAACAAGGCAGTTCTGTGCAAACCTTTGACCATGACGAAGGCAACTTACTGCAAACCCCACATGCAGAGCAAGTCCTGTCAGACAGATGGTGAGTGGAGGACAGAGTATGTCCCAGTGCCCATCCCGGTGCCCGTGTACGTGCCGGTGCCCATGCACATGTACAGCCAGAGCATCCCTGTGCCCACGACCGTTCCTGTGCCCGTGCCAGTCCCCGTGTTTCTGCCCGTCCCCTTGGACAGCAGTGAGAAGATCCCTGCGGCAGCCGAGGAGCTCAAAAGCACAGTTTCTTCAGATCCCCTGGGCACAGAGCTGCTGACAGTGACCGACATGGCTGAGGACGAGGGGAAGGCAGAGGGCACCGACATCCACAGTGTAATTATTGAAACGGACATAATTGGTTCAGATCTCTTGAAGAACTCTGACCCAGAGACAGAGTCCAACATGCCTGATGTACCATATGAACCAGATTTGGACATTGAAATAGATTTCCCCAGAGCTGCTGAGGAGCTTGATATGGAAAATGAGTTTTTATTACCACCTGTTTTTGGAGAAGAATATGAGGAACAGCCTAGACCTCGATCTAAAAAAAAGGGAGCCAAGAGGAAGGCAGTGTCAGGGTACCAGTGTCATAATGACAGTTCTGACAACTCGGAGTGCAGCTTCCCTTTCAAGTACACGTACGGGGTAAACGCCTGGAAACACTGGGTCAGAACGAGGCAGCTTGATAAAGATCTCCTGGTGTTAGATGAGCTAAAATCTCCTAAGTCAGTAAAGTTAAAAGAGGATCTACTCTGTCACAGCACGGCTGAGCTTGACTATGGCCTGGCCCATTTCGTCAATGAGATCCGAAGGCCAAATGGGGAGAATTATGCACCTGATAGCATCTATTATCTTTGCCTCGGGATTCAAGAGTACTTGTATGGTAGTAATCGAAAAGACAACATATTTATTGATCCAGGATTCCAGACATTTGAGCAAGAATTGAATAAAATACTCCGAAGTTGGCAACCAAGCATACTTCCAGATGGGTCAATATTTTCTCGAGTTGAAGAAGATTATCTCTGGAGGATAAAACAGCTAGGATCACACTCTCCAGTAGCTCTTCTGAATACCCTGTTCTACTTTAACACTAAGTATTTTGGCCTGAAAACAGTGGAACAGCACTTAAGGCTTTCCTTTGGCACTGTGTTTAGGCATTGGAAAAAAAACCCTTTAACAATGGAAAATAAAGCATGTCTTCGATACCAAGTGTCTTCCTTATGTGGAACAGATAATGAAGATAAAATTACTACTGGAAAAAGAAAACATGAAGATGATGAGCCAGTATTTGAACAAATTGAAAATACAGCCAATCCTTCTAGATGTCCTGTGAAAATGTTTGAATGCTACTTGTCTAAAAGTCCACAGAATCTTAATCAGAGAATGGATGTTTTCTATTTGCAACCAGAACGCTCTAGCTCTGCAGACAGCCCTGTCTGGTACACGTCTGCTTCGTTGGACCGAAACACCTTGGAAAATATGCTCGTACGGGTTCTTTTAGTAAAAGATATTTATGATAAAGACAATTATGAACTGGACGAAGACACAGAGTAAAAAGGAACGTTTTAGAAGCAATCGGGAGAAAACAGCATTAGATAGTCATGCTGCTAGATCTTTACTATGGAAAACATTTCAAGTTTACTCCTTCTGTTTTGAGTTTTGTAGCAGTGTACCCACACTGGGTATTACCTTGTAAATAATCTGTGAGTGAAAGTTGCCATTATTCTATGTAGTGGTTTTAGGATACTTACAAATACATTCAAATTCTTTTTTTATTATTATTTATTTGATTAGGTATGTTTGTAACTTTTTACATTACAAGATATGAATGAGAATGTGCCACGTATAATTTTTTCTTGTAGTGAGAAACGCCCATATTGCACACCTCTGCTGTTGCAAAGCTTCCTGGAGAGGGGGCTCTTCTGCTGGGTTCTTGACAAGATGGTTGTGTGTGGGGAGCACCTACTAAAAGTTTAGAACTTGCAGTGTCTTTCAGAATTTTTAAAATAAACTGTAAACTAATAGGCTGGGTTTTTTGTTTTGTTTTTTTGCGGGGGTTTTGTTTGTTTTATGCTTTAGTTACTGAAGCCTTACCAGGTTATGTAGAGAGATACCATCTTCTGTACCAAAAATAGACAAGAAAATGCTGTCGATACTGGTGTAGTGTAATGTGAATCTATACTGGTGAACAGAACTTTTTGTTCCCCTTATTAAAACCTTAGTGTCCTTTTCTCATTTGTGGCTTTCTGCATCACCCCAAACAATAATAATTATGTATGTATACTTATATATATGTGTGTGTATATGTACGTATGTGTATACACACACATATATAAAGAATGATGTTGATAACATGATCATGGAGACATTTTCTTTGCAAAAATGATGAAAATATAAAATTCTGTTTTCTGTGTCAACCCTAAAAAAAAAAAAAAAAAAAAAAAAATGTTCACCTGTATCTTTTTCTAGTGCTTTTTTGGTGTTATTATGTTTAAATTTTTTATCAATATAAATTTAAATTTTATCTTGGAAGAAAAAAAGTAGAAACGATGTAACCTTTCTGTTCTTATTTTGACAGGTGACTTCTGTCATCTTAGCATACGAAAATATTTTAAATGTTTGTATTCAAACCTACCGATACCGTAATTCATGGTTTCTGCCTTTGGTGTCAGCTTAGGCTTTCTCCAGCCTCCAAATTATATAACTACTCACCTTTATTTTATTTTTGATACTTTCAGTATTTTTTATATTTAAATCTTTAATGAACTTAAAGTATTTTGGCATATGGTGAATTGGTACCAAGCTTTTTTCCATCCAGTCAGCTAGCCTGTTGTTCTGTTACTATTTATTTTTTTATTTTTTTGTGGTATGTGGGCCTCTTACTGCTGTGGCCTCTCCCATTGCGGAGTACAGGCTCCGGACGTGCAGGCTCAGCAGCCATGGCTCACGGGCCCAGCCGCTCTGCGGCATGTGGGATCTTCCTGGACCGGGGCACGAACCTGTGTCCCCTGCATCGGCAGGTGGACTCTCAACCACTGTGCCACCAGGGAAGCCCTGTTACTATTTATTGAATCATTTCCTCACAAATTTCAAATGCCATCTTTAATAGTTTCAATTTTTATGTATAGAATGATTCTTTTACTTGTCTTTTATTTCATTAATTGCTCAGGTCCTGTACCAATTCCATACTGTCAATTACTTGAAAAATAAAAACAGTCAGGAAGGCTTGCTTTAAAAGATACTAACATGTATTATAAATCTAAAATATTTCTGGCTATTCTTATATTCTTTTAAGAGCTTTAAACACACATTGTAATTTTTTAAATGTATAAATTAATTTGCAGGCAATTAACATTTTTTACCTTTAACATTCTCATCTAGGAACATGGTATATCTTTCTATTTGCTAGTGTTTCATGTTACTCAGTTGATTTTTATAGTTACAATAGTATATATAGTATGTACCATTATTGTAAAATATGATTGTGTATTTCAAAAAGACTAGAAAGATATAAAGTAAGATATTAAGTGGTTATCTCTGGCTGCCCAAATGATGGGTGATTTGGGGTGTTTATTTTCTTGGTGCTTGTTTTTTCAAAGGTCTAGTATGTATAATTTTCTTATAATTAGAGAATCACAATTCCCAAAACACTAATTACTAATTGTAAAGTGCTTTAAGTGTAGCAATGTTTTAAATACATATAAATATTTCTAATGAAAAACACATTTATGTTGGTAAATACCACCTAAAAATAAAAATCACTCAAAGCTGTTTTTTTCTGAATAAAAAGAAATATAACTTTAATTGTCCAAAATAATTTGAAATGGTGGCTTGCATAATTAAAGGTGACATCAAAAATTGGGAAAAATGTATTGATTTATATTAGTTTTTCTTAACAGCAGAGATTTTAAAATCAGTGTTCATATTTTAAATAATGTAGAGTAGAATTATTTTCCTGCTTGACCATAAGCTAGTCATTTAATTAACATCTAGTACATTCTGATCTGATAAGCCTCATAGCCTAATATGGAATGCAGAGATAGTCACTTATACTATTTAACCATAATCTCTTCACAGTGTAGATTTTTGGACAAGGTGACTATTCAAGAAGAAAAAGAAGATATTTATGAAGTTTGCAAAAGGTCTGTAACATAACTTTTAATTACATAATGTTAAAATAGTCATTCATGTAATTTGTATCTTGAGCATATTTTTCCTTCTCTCCTGTATATACTTGGGCTACTATGCCGTAAACAATATATGGGTATTATTTAAGTAATGTGTCAGGTGTATACAGATGTCAGGGATATTGTAAGTTACCTTAAAGTTATCACTAAGTGTTTGGAGCCATTAAAATATTTTTTGAGGGAGGAATGAAGAATAGTGATAAAATAAAAGAAAAAAAGATGTGTATGTGACTTCTATGAAGGTAAGACTAGCTGAAATCAGATGAACATTGCAATTTGCAGGTATCTTCTATGTCTGCAGCGATTAGTACTGAGAGCTACAGTACACTCACTGGAACATATACAGATACCAAATTTAGATTTAGAGGACACCTTGGAGGTCATTTGATCCACCCCCTACACCTATCTTGCTGTTGAGGCAAGGCACAGTCGGGTCAGGTGACAAATATGTTCAAGTTCTTTTATGTTAAGACAGTGTTTTTCAAAGTGTGGTCCTTGGAGCAGCTGCATCATGTGGGAACTTGTCATAAATGTAAATTATTTGTTCCCACCCCTGACCTACTGAATCAGAAACTCTGGAAATGGGGCCCATCAGTCTGTGTTTCAACAAAGTCACCAACTAATCCTGCTACATGTTCAAGTTTGAGAACCATTACGTTAAAGAAAAGCCTAGGTAAGAATTAGATTGGCATAGAAGCCCGTATGGTTCATGCCCACTTGAAGATCTTAAAAAGAAAATGTGACAAGGTTAACTTTTTTTTTTTCCTATTAAAAACATTTTGCTTACAAGCTAAATAGTTGCAACCTGCAGAGTTTTGTCATCACCTTGGCTCTACCATAATGACCAGGAGTGTGACATTGGGTAAGTCACCACATTACCCTGGGTTTCATTACCCAATCAAAATAAAAGAATTTTTCTAGATAATCTTTTCCATCTATAAAATTCCATAATTCATATTTGTTTGTTTTATGTTACTGCTTTTATTTTGTTTTATTTGGAGGGGGTATGATAATTGCGCATATCAATGATATCCCAAGTTGGGGAGAGAAACAAGTATTTTTGTGTGAAATTATTGAACTCCCATCAGTGCTACTAGGTTTCAACTGTTATAAGCATTGGCCCCTTTTCTTACTATTTTTACTCTCTGCTGGCCAAGGGAACCCCAGCTGAAAAAGCTTTATTAGAATTGTGTTTAAGGTAAAATACTGTAGTATCTGAATGAGGGTATAAGTCTTTCTCTGAAAAAGTAAATTCATTTATATCTGATAGCTCTGAGGTACTTTCCACCCTCCCCCTTGCTTAAGTTATTTATTTTTCTAGGTTAAGTGACCTCCAGATTAAGGGTTTTTTGTTAATTGGCTGTATAGGATCTCACATATTAGAACACAGTCAAAGCTGTTTAAATCAGTAGCCTAGAACAATACATTTCTTATACCTTCTTCCCAAAGGAAGGTCTCAAGTACATGTATAAATTTATTATATATACATGTCCTGAAGAATAACTTACAATTCATTTATTTTATTGCACTATTAATAGAATCATTGCATGATCTTTTCTGGATTTGGATGCTAGTCCAGTTCCTCCTCAAACCTTTTGTCTGACATGATCAGAAATACTTTGCTCTAGTTTTAACCCCACCACCCCACTTTTACCCATACCCTAGCCTTTTAACAAGTATCTGTTTTCTAGTTAAGAAGGCAGGAACAACCTAGTGAAAATACTGAAGAATCATAGTATATGATGGTAGTACATAGCATAGTATGTAGACTACATCAATACTACCATTAGGATGTGTTTCTACTTATTTGATTCTCATTACTTTATGTCTTTAGAATAAATTTAAATTCTGATTTTGGGTTTTCTGCTCACACAGCAGCGATTCTAAAAATACAGATAATGTGGTTGGTGAATGTCAGTTGGCAGCGCTGGGCCCCAAACCTCTGTGCTTATCAGTACCAGTGCCACCTTTGAATCTAAGTGCTCATCAGGAAGACACATTACTGAAGCCCTGGATGAATGGTACGATTTTCTTAGTAAAATTCTGTTGGCTTTTGATAATATAGAAATGATACAGGAGACTTTTCCACCCAAAACAAAAAAGTTAAGAAAGAAATTGAGGGAATTCCCAGGCGGCAGTCCAGTGGTTAGGACTCTGCACATCCACTGCAGGGGGCACGAGTTCAATCCCTGGTCAGTGAACTAAGATCCTGCAAGTTGTGTGGCAGGGCCCCCCCAAAAAAAGAAGAGAAAAAAATTGAAACAAGTATAGAATATGCTAAGATTAGAAGGTTTGTGTACCTTAGTTAGTACTTTTGATGGAGCAACTTCTGAGATATCTATATTTATGCAATAGTGTTAGTATAGGTAAATTATAGTCTATACCTAAAATATTCATATTTTAAGTGAGTGTTTTAGAAATTTAGAATGTAGTTTAGATTTGTGTCTTTTTTGATAATTCATAATGCTGTGAAAAAATAAACTAGATTGAAGAATTAATTTAGAAACAATAAAATCCTGTTGTGTATGTAGCTCACACCTAACTCTTCTGGACTTCCCATTACTGACTTCATGCTGCCTGGTGTTGTGTACTATAGCAGCAAGCCCATGATGATCACGTGTTTTATCTTAAAAAGCTTTACCTGTTTCATAATGAAAAGTACTGCAAAGCTATGCAGCAAAAACGTCAGCTTGTCCCAAATTATATCTGGATGCTGCCAAAATGAAAAATGAAATTGCTTAAGATAAAAACATTTTTGTGTTATCTTTCGAAAAAATAATTTTTAAATGTCCTAATTCTCATTTTAAAAGACTAACATTAAGGGATAATGATCCCTGGTATAATAGCTCGGGCTGCCATAACAAAATGCCACAGACTGGGTGGCTTAAACAACAGATATTCATTTCACACAGTTCTGGAAGCTAGAAGTCCAAGATCAAGTTTCTGGTAGAGTTCAGTTTCTGGCTGTCTTCCTGGCTTACAGACGGCAGCCTTTTCACTAAGTCCTCACATGGCCTTTCCTTGGTGTATGTGCATGCGGGGGC